CCTTGATTGATTAAGATCAATTTTCTCTGAACTATTAATTTATGTTTTCTTCTTTGCTTACCACTGGTCTATTTCTTCCATTGTAATCAATTTTCTCTGCCATCCAAATTTCTCTGACCACAATTGTAACACATTAACTTATATGCCCTGATTGATTTTCTCTAATATCTGAATTATGTTGGTTGTTTCATAATTTTCTCTGGCCCATCAAATTTTATCTCCTTGTGTGTAATTTTCTCTGCCCATAACTTATGTGCCTTGCATCTTTGATAAACACTGTTTATTTCTACCCTTCTAATGAATTTTCACTGGAATTCAAATTTCTCTGACACAATTATAGTAAAACATTAACTTATATGCCTTGATTGATTTTCTCTGATATCTAAGTTATGTTGCTTGTTTCATAATTTTCTCTGCTTCATAAAATTAACTCCATGTCTCTAATTTTGTCTGGCCCATACAATTTTCTCTGAAGTTTGTTTCCCATTAGTATCATTGAAATGAATTTTATTTTCCTTATTTGAATTTTTTCTCTCAGTGAATTTTGTAACATTTCTCTAATAAAAGAGTCTCCTGTTACAGATAGATAACAAGCAGCTAGTCAAAAACCCATCAGAGGAGTTCTGTCTTGGCAAAAAGATGAAGAAAGAATCAAAAAAGGCAATTGTCAAATTCAAGGAGACATTACAAGATCTATCTGAAGATGGAGGGAATGAACAAGCAGAAGGCAACATAGAAGAATACGAAGCCAGCAATGGACAAGAACATCAAGCAAGCAGCGGAGAAGAAGAAACCAGAGAAGAAAGTGAAGAAATATAAGCAGAAGACAAAGAACAAAATGAACAGAAAGAAGAAGACAGTGAACAAGAAGATGAAGAAGAAGATGAACAGCAAGAAGAAAACAAGGATGAAAGTGATGAAGAAGAAAATAATGAGCCGATGGGCCAACAACGTGATAGCATTTGTGCCTCAACAATGCATCTGTAACAACCCAGATTTTTAATTATTCTGTAGAATTTATACTAATATTATTTAATCTCAGTTAAGAAAATATATGATTTATTATATATTATTATGCGTAATTTTGTAAAATAATATAATTTTAGGGGTCAAAATATAAATAAATAATTAATTTTCTGTTAGTATAAGATAAAGTGTAATTTAATTAAGAATTAATTAATTTATATAATTATATCAAAACATTGGGTCAAAATATAATTATTCTAAATTTAAGATAAATACAAATCTAAGTTGATAACAAGCAAATCAGGTGAATTAAGAAGCAGATCCGCGGGAGATACGGATTGGCCATGTGTTGGCTTGTCAGTGGCGTCACTTTCCTATAAATAGGGAAGAAGGGATCAGTCTGTAGGAAAGAGAGAAAGAAGAAAGGAAAAGAAGAAAAGAAAAAGAAATAGAAAGAAAAAAGAAAAAAAAGAAAGAAAAGAGAGAAGAGAAGGGAAAAATGGTGAAAGTTGAAAGGATTTTTGATAATGGAAGGAAAGAATAAAGTATTAAAGTTAAGGTGAGTTATATTATACCTTGAGTTACTAAAATGTATTTTACTTATATTTTGGCTTACCAAAATCTGTTTTACACAAGTTATGTTTTATTAGTATATTAATAAAAGTTATGTTTTATAAAGGTTTCAGTTACATGGTTTTATTTCTTAACCCTATTTGCTTAAAAGGAAACCCATGGATATGTCTGTTTATATTTTAAAGAATATTTGACTATGACCTTATAAACAATTATGTTTTGTAAGTACCACCACGGGAGTCTCACGCCTTGGGGGACTTAAATAACCATTGGCCTCTATTTGGTTACTTTGTGGCCCTCTGATCCATTGACCTCTGTTCTGTGCGGGGCAAAGTGCTGTATGAAGCTAAGTGCTACACTATTGTGGGAGCCACCTCTAGAATCCGTACGAGCCACCTCTTGAATCCGTACCTCTGTTTTGTGCGGACCAAAGTGCTGTGCGGAGCTAAGTGCTACACTATTGTGGGAGCCACCTCTAGAATCCGTACGAGCCACCTCTTGAATCCGTATCTCTGTTCTGACTGTCACTTCTGTGACCTCTGCTTTGTTCTGTTCTGTACCGTGATTATGGTGATATATTTACATAATATCTGTATTTCAGTTTCTGGTACTTAAATGATTTCTGGTACTCAAATGATTTGTTTATGTAAATGTTTCGGCTACATAACTATCCATGGTTATTTCGTGCCATTATACTCTTAGTATAATATTTCTCACTCTGCCATGTGCTTATAGTTTTTTTTATCAATTTTCAGGAAACATGCAATTCAGAAATAGCTTCTGGAAAGTCTTAGACGCGGGGCTGCGGAATAGACACACACAGTATTTTTATGATATTTTTATATGTAAATATCGGCCTTTTTGGTCAATATATTTTGTAATAAAAATAGAAGCTCCAATGATTATTTTGGTATCCTTACTCAAATATTTCTTCCGTTTGCGTTTATTAATTTGTTTATGAATTGGCCGTAGGTAATTTCAGTTACTGGCCATCACGATGCTTAACCCTTGGGTACGGGGAGCGGGTCGTGACAGCATCAGCCTGAAGAATTTGAGGAATCAAAGGATGCCCAAATTGCTGATCTATGTCAAAGACTGAAGGCACTTTCTCAATCTAAAAAAGAAGAAGACAAAAATTGGATTAAATTACTTGCTGAAAAGGATATTTCAATAAGAATCCTGACATCACTTAACTCAGAACTTCAAGAAAAAGAAAGCACAATCCAAATGAAACTAAGGATGTTGGAGGTTGAAAAAACAGACGATACAAAAACAATTCAACAGTTGAGGTGTTCAAATTCAGAGCTTGAAATTAAAAATGCTAAATTGCATGAACAAGTTCAAGAACTATCCGTCCAACTAGCAACACAACCATACCGAACACTAGCACAACTTCAACCACGAGGTCAGTGAAAATCTTGAGCCACAAAAAGTTATGTCCTTGTGTCGACATAACTCAGAGAAATTTCTATTTATTATAATTTTCTCTGTCATTGGTAATTTTCTCTGGAAGTTATATTTCTCTGAATACATTAGTTATATTTCTACTTTCTACTGCTCATTTCATTTCTCTGTATATTTTCTTATTCCATTTTTGGGGCTTGTTTGATTTTCACTGTGTATAGTTGGAATGCAAGTGGAACAACAACCAACAACCCAACAAGAGCAAATCCCACACAAACAACAACCGAAACAAAAGAAGAAACTCTATGGTAACTGCAAAATATTGAATTAAATAAATTTACATATTGAAATATCATCTGTTGCTTCAGAGAAATTTCACTTTTCCTAATATTTTCACTGCCTACAGTCAAAAAAGATCCAACCTCAATGATAAAAAATTTAAAGGCAAAAGAAAGGAAGGAAAAGCAGCATGATCCAGAATTCCAATATCCGAAAGTTGCGAAAGTGACTAGAGCTTCAAAACAAGCTGCAAAGCAAGTTGAGCAAAGCACGAAGGACAAAGAAGTACTTGATGCTGATGCGTACATCTTGCCTCAACCTATAAACATCAGAAAATCTAGGGTCTTTCCACAAACTCTTCCGATTTCAAGATTGATAAAAGATCATGTAAAAGACATCTTGCAGCACATATCAATTGTGTCTGGGCTTGAGTAAGTACAACAAACAAAATAGAACATAACAAACAACAAATTATAAACTTATATTGCATTAACAACAATTCAATTCCTTCTTTGTCATCTTGTAGAGCTTTAATTTGGACAAGTGAGCTGAATCTCATTACCTTTGAAGACATTGGAAACCTAATAAAGTAAAAAGAAATTGCCAACAATGTAAGTCTTTCCCTTTCATCAAAATTTCTCTGCAATGTTCCATCAGCCTTTATAAAACAATATTACAATTATAAATCATATTTTTCAGGTCATTGATGGCTATGGAGAGATCCTTTTGGCTGACCAAATGAGAGAGAGACAACAACTAACCTCATTTTTTTTCACATCCATGAGCTTAGTATGTTACTACTTTTTTATTTGATTTTCTCTGGAATTTACTTTCTACTTTCTCTTCTTAATATACTTCTTGAAGTCAGTTGTGTCACTAGTCATAACAAAACCATTTTTTGATTTTCTCTGAACACAAAATTTCATCAAGATGACAGAAAATCAAACTTTTCGAGTGTCCTAATTTGACAAGCATATTGAAATAGCATGGAGGAACTACAGGTTCCTCAATTTCCCAATAAATACTGGAGGTAATGAGAAGTCCACACATGGAAATCACTGGACCTTGCTTGTCCTGGACAAACAAGACAATTTATGGAGGTTCTACAACTCACTGAGGTCAAGGAGGGATGATGCAGAAGAGAAATATGTCAAAGATGCAAAACAATTGGTAACGAGTGCAAATTTTTCTGATCCATCATCAGCTTTATGTGATGATAATTTTCATAGAATCCCATTGATTTGTTCGTAAATTTCTTTGTTATTTAAAAATTATTTTTTTGCAGCAAGATTACGTGGAGAATTTTTTGAAAGCTTGCCTTGAAAGAGACGCTCAATCACAACCCTCTTTCAAATTAATAAACTCACAAAACACAAGTTACGACTTTGAGTATGTCAACAATGCTCCACAACAAGAAAGTGATTCGTAAGTTTCATACATCTATAAATAAGATAATTTGATTTGCATGTTTCTTAAAACTAACCATACCTATAATTTGTATGCAGTCTGGATTGTGGCCTCTTTGTCTGCTATATAATGAAACAATATAGCAAGCATGAACCTATCAGCTCCAAATTGTCCACACAAGAGATAAGGTTGATGAGGGCAGAACTCATAGAGAGATTTGTGACCGAAGTTGGCCGGTCATGGACTGAACCAATTGAAATACCTCCAGAAGAACCACAAATGTAATAGTGAAACTAGTGAAAGGAAGACAATGTACATATCCACACAGAGAAAATTGTCTCACATATATGTATATATCCATACAGTATTAACCATTCAGTTTTTTGTTGATACATTGAAGGAATGATGATACTTGACATATATGTATATATCCTTTCTTGACAAATCTAAATTTCATTTTTTTTTTATTTTGACTAATGTGAATTTCATACCTATCAATGGTTAAATATATATATATATATATTTATTGTCATTCACAGAGAAAATTGTTTGCCAGAGAAAATTGTCTGCAGAAATTTCTCTGGTATGAACTACCAGAAATTCATAGAGAAATTTAACTTGTATCGTCCCAAGGGGATACCTATATGATCATGTAATCTGTAATACTTTGTGTTGGTACAAAATAATCATCAAACTCAACAAAACACAAAGCGCACAGTAATTTTATCTGCCACTGAAAAATTTCACTGCATGAATTTCAAATGTCAAAACACAATGCCCAGATAGTTTTCTCCGATGGTGGAAAATTTCTCTGGATGAAATTGACGGATTCAAATGGTGACAGAAAATGGAATTTCTGAGTTATGAATTTCTCTGGGTTGAGTGATTTGGGGAGGAGGAATTTCTCCGTGTTGGTGAGGAAAATTTCTCTGGCTTTGACACAAATTTCTTAGTTGAAGTGAGTCCAGAGAAATTTTTCCCTGGTCTAGAGAAATTCTCAACTCAGAGAAATTTCAAAAGAGCTTAATTTTGTTTCTTGGTTATACAATAATTTTTTGTATGCTCTGTCTGGTGTGCACATTTCTTGAAATGACTGGTATGAAGCTACCAGAAATTCACAGAGAAATTTAACTCATATTTCTCCAAAGAAGGTGCCTATATGATCATTCAATCTCTAATGCACTGTGTTAGTACAAAACAATTATTAAATTCAAAAAACACAATCCACACATTACTTTAGTCTGCCATTGTCAAATTTATGTGGATGAATATGAAGCTTCAAAACACAATATACAGAATTTTCTCTACCATAGAAAAATTTCTCTGGATGAATTTGACAGGTATTACAAACCCACTGCCTATAGTATATATCAACAAACACAATGTACACTTTAACTGATATTGGAAAATTTCTTTGGATGAATTTGATTGATATTATTATATACACTGTCTGAAAAATACATTTCACAAAACAAAATACACAAAGTAATCATCCAATGTATTATTCAATCAATAAAATGTATAATCCTCAACTATTTAACAAAGGTTCCTTGCATGTCCTCTTATTATGGTGACCAATACTCTCACAACGACTACACTTAATCACCCTTTTAAACTCTCCAGTAAAAGAAATTCTGTTTTTCTTTGGCCTCCCAGCAGGTCTCTTGCTCAATGGAGGTAAAATCATAGCATCTTCAATGCTACACACAGGTTTTTCAACAGTTGGAACTAGGCCAATCGAAAACGAGTATGCTTGATGATACATATCAGCATGAAAAAACGGTTCAACAAATGAATTCAAATTCTTTCCACTTCTAAAAATTGTAGCAATAGCATGTTGACATGGATACCCATTTATTTCTCATTTTCGACATGAACAAGTTCTCAACCCAAGATCAACCATAACCGAAGGAAAACACTGCACTTCAAAGACATTATCAGATGATAAGCTCACATTCCATGTCCTCCCATCCAAAAAAGACTTCTCCAACACACTATCCATACGAGGACACAGAATTTTATTTCATTTACTAGAGAGCAGCCTCCTATCAGACCTCATAGTCATGATTTACAACCGTATCATGTCCACCAAATTTGTTATTGGCAAGTGCCGAGCTTCTCGTATCCATGAATTGAATGACTCAGCAACATGTGAATACATCTCACCATAACGTTTCCCTGCAAAATATGCATCACTCCAATTTTCATATGGTAAACTTTTCAAGAAAACACTCACAATGTCTCCTCTCTCACTTTTTAATTCATTTAACTTGAAATGAAATGATGCCTTTATTGGAGCATATGCACATTCTGAAAACTTGTACACAATCGTCTCCCTAACCAAATTTTTGTTTCCACATGACAACTTATCCCTCAAATTTCTCTTCAGATATTCCAGACAAAAATCCATGAAAGCAGTTAGGGAAAAACCTAGCAATTCCCTCCACAATACCACAATGTCGATCTGATATGAAACTTATCACCCTTTCTGATCCCAATACTCCATATAAATGTTCAAGAAACCAACACCAATTGTCTTTATTCTCAACATCAACAACAGCAAAAGCTACAGGAAAAAAACCTACAAAACAAATAGGAACAAACATATTAGATATACACATGCAGAGAAAAATAGAACAATAAACAACCAGAGAAGTTTGACACTGCCAACATCCAGAGAAAATTCACTTAGTGCCCAACTCCAGAGAAAATTCACACATTGGCAACATCTAGAGAAAATTGACTTAGTGACCAACTACAGAGAAAATTCACACAATCATAATATCCAGAGAAAATTCACTTAGTGACCACCTACAGATACAATTTACACAATGACAACATCCAGAGAAAATTCATACACTGACGAAAATCCAGTGAAAATTCTCACAGTGGCCAAAACCAGAGAAAATTCACATTCACTCAATTCCTACATGTATAGAAAATTCACATACTTAGATAAAATTAGATATATTTACAATTACCTTCATTCCCATCTTTCCCCGTTGCAGCAAGCGTAACTCCTTTGTATCGTCCTTTCAAAAATGTTCCATTAAGAAAAAGCAATGACCGACAATATTTGAAACCAGCAATGCATGCATGAAAAGCCACAAACACTCTTTTGAAACGTTTGTTATCTTCAAAATCTAACTTAAAGCGACTACCTGGATTGTTCTTCAATGCCTCATCAAAATACCACCGTAATTGATCAAATGACAAACAAGAATCCCCATATGTACTACATTTTGCTTTTTCAACACCCAACCAACCACAGTTATAACTGATTGAGACCCCATACTTGTCTTTCATTTCTTTCACAACATTTATTGGACGAGTTAAAGGTTTTGCACTTACCTCTTCAAGTATCAGCCCAGAAACTAAGCTGGAAGTCATCCTCGAATGTTTACTCGTACGAACCGCCACACCACACGTATGTTCATTGTTCAAAGTCCTTATGTAGAAGAATCCATTTGTTTTTCAACAGAAGCATGTACATGCCACATACATCCCCTTGATTCCTTATATGCACATTCTGCCGTAACCCTCAGCTTGTCATTTTTAACATACGTAAACTGAAAACCAACCTCAAAGCATACTTGCATAAAAAAGTACGGAACTCAACCACACCACCCTCAAACTTTTGTCCAACACTCGTAATATTATTCCGCCAACTAGCTGACAATAACACATTTTCTTGGTGGGAACAAAACTTAAAGAGTGAATTCCTTTCAATATCCACCAGCCTATCACACTCACCATCCACAACATCTACCCAATTAGACCCCACTTCATCATTTTCATCAGAAGTACTACATCTAGTAACTGAAACATCAA